GGACTGGTCCCGCCGGCGCAGGGTAGCAGGAAGCTCTCCACACACTCACCGGACCTGGGCTAGGACTGGGTCTGGGGGCTCCCGGAACTCGGCAGCTTGATTGTTTGTTCTTAAAGGATAAAGAAGAGCCAAAAATCTGCTTCCTGACACCTGCTGCGCGCTGAGGAACACTGTGACCCGACCTGACCACAGTCAGAAGTCTTACCCTGACCAGCCTAATGGAGGCAAAAGAGGGTGGGTTCTGCTGTTTGCTGGGAAAGGGGACAGGACCATCAGCAAGTCCTAGATGCCTAGTTCTATTTTATATCCATGTTAAGTAGGAGCTAAAATGGAAAGTAGAGTCTTGATGAGTAGTGGGCTGAGCTTCAGTGGAGACACTGGAGGTAGCACTGCCACTCCAGTGCCAGCCCTAGAGAAGGACTGGCAAGGCCAGGCTTGCTCAGGTAGAACGTCGTGCAGCTTTGTCTTCAGAAAGTAAGGTATCCATTTACACCAGTAGTGAGTTTAATTTGCATTTTTAAAAAAAATCTTTTATTTATTTATGTAGTATAGCAAGACTCATAGTGATCCTCCTGTCTCAGCCTCCCCAGTACTGGGATTAGAGGCACGTGCCACAGCGCCAGGTTTCAGTGGCCGGCAAAACCTGGGCCTTGCTTTTACCAGGCAGAGCTATCTCCCCAGCTCTTAATTTGTATTTTCCTGATTAAAATGAGGCTGCTCCTCCTCCTAGCCTGTTCAGGCTTCACGCTTCTCTCCTGTGGAATGTGCCTGTGAGGTCTCTTGCTCGTTTTTTACTGTGTTGTCGTTTGGGGACCGGTCTGCAACATTTCTTGATGTAACCTGAATACTGTTCTTTTACTCACTGATGCATCACAAGGCATTGGCTTTTCTTTGTCTTTGTTTTATTGGACCCTTTGAGGGACCAGAGCTCTTGATACTACAGGGGCAAATTTATAAGCTTTTTATGGCTAACATCTTTGCTCCTTCAGAAATTCTTCCCCATTTTGAGGTCAGAAATATGTTTCTGTTCTATTTCCCTCTGCAAGTTTAAGCCCTTTGCTTTTCACGGGGAAACCCACCTCCCATGGAACTGGGCTTAGATGTGGCTCCCCTTGGCTAAGTAAGTGGTTCCAACCTTCTTGAGGACTCTGCTATCCTTCAGTAGCTGACTGGACAAGAAAATCAGGGAAAAACCTCATTAGCTGCAGGACTTGGGTAACGGCAGCCTTGAGAGAGAATTTATGACCCCAGCAGAGGGTCTCTGTGCTGTGGCCAAGGCATTTTTGCTGTAGCCAATTTGCAAATGCTAGATCCTGTGTTAAAAGACAGAAAGGCAGTGAATCCCCTCTCACCATTTGAACTCTGAGCATTTAAGCAGGCTGTGTTTGGGAAGAAAACATCCATTAAAATGCAGATTTGTGTAGTATTCTAAGCATAGGATCTCCTTCAGAAAAGCAGTGCTGCTTACTGGAGCTATCATTTGACAAGGATTGAGAGGTCCAGCTTTATGGGCTGATCAGCTTTACTCACTGAGGAAACCAGTTTTGTTTTGTTTTGTTTTTTTTTTAGACAGAGTTTCTCTGTGTAGCTCAGGTGGGTTCGAACTCAGGCTGACCTGCAGGCTGAGATAGCCCAGGCTGACCTTGAGCCCTTGGTTACCCTCCAACCTCAGCCTCCCAAGTGCTGGGATTATAACCTGTGCCTTCACACCCAGCCTTTAGGATTATGTTCAGGGCTGTGACAAGAACCCTGCCATAGTGGCATAACCAAGCAGAATAGACTTTCTCACAGGAGAGCTCGGCATAGGTTCCCTTCAGTTTAGGGTCCTCAGCATGTGCCTTTATTTTTGCGCCTGTTATGTCACAACTGCAGGACATAGCTCTTCCTCCAGCAGTACCAAGCCTGTTTCAGGCACAAAGAGGTGGTCAAAGGACAAAAATCGAAGCCTGGTACTTCTTGAAGAGCTTCCCCAGGATCCCTACTCCCATTTGTATCTCTAAGGCCAAGACTTTCACCTGCTCTTTGTTCTCAGCTGTAGTTGGAGCACAGAAAATTCCTGCCTGAAGACAGTGAAAATTCTGGAAGGAAAAAGTGTAGGCTGAGCCTTGGTGGTGTCTGTCCACTATCTAGGCTTCCATCAGAGGTCCCTGCGCAGCCTGGTGAGGTGCTCTGTGTGGCAGAATGGAAGAGCAAATGCAAGAGTACTTCGAACTCTGTGCTGTGCATTTTGCAAACAAGTGGGGATTCTGAATGGTGGCCTCGATAGCTAATCCAGTGCTAACAGAAAGTTCCGCTGAACGTAAATCCTTGGGTAACCAGTGTCTATTGAGCCTTGGCTTGTTCTCTTTCAGACGTCCTCTGATAGCCCAAGTACTCATGTTTTTAGGGTTACCCTTTCTCAAACGTCAGTCTGTGGGTTATTATCAAGTGTCGTTGTGGACTTCTGTTGAATCATTTTCATAATGTCTCCTTCCCCTTTTCCCTTCTTCAAAGATCTTGGGATGTTTCTCCATGTGTGTTTTACTTCGGCTGTCCTGCATTCACCTCCAGGGATAGCCCTGACTTAGGTCAGGTCACTTAGTTTAAGCCATTAGTAAGCCCCAAAGAATAGTGATTGCCGAAGCGCTGGATCTCTGAGTGCCCTCATTGCTTTTTGTGGGACTGCTATGAAGCTGGCATCCTTTGGAAGATGGATGCGTGATCTTCAGCTGCTGCAGCCACTTCTTTATGGCACCAAAAGGGAGACAACAGATTATAACTTAGACCTAGAGTATCCCCTGAAAGGCTCGCGTGTTGGGAGTTTGGCCTTGTGGAGGGTGACTGGTCCATGGGCGCTCTTCCCACTGTCCCACTGACCGAGTCCTAGCTGACGTGAGATGAGGAGGGCCTGGTCAGAAGAGGCAGGTCTTGGGGGTCGCCTGTGGGCTGTATCTCCACTCTTGGCTGCTCCTCGCTGCGGTGGCCTGAGCGGCTTTCTTCCACCATGTCCCTCTGCATGTGTTTCTGCCTCGGAGCCTGCCAGGCATGCCTGGACTGAGCCCCCTGAATCCATGAGCCAGTGCGAGTCTCTCTGCTTTAAGCTTTGTGTCCTAGTGACACAAAAGGGATTCAGACACAGCTGAGGGTGTCTTCCGTCCACAGGCAATGCCTGTGAAGGGAACCTCAGAGAATCACATGATACAGCAAACCTCTGGCTTCCTCAAGCTGACTGTAGTTTTGCTTTATTCTTTCTCATCTCAATGGACCAAATGATTTCCACATTTTTAAAAAAGTTGTGTGAGTTTCTGTTAACTATATCCAGAGGATTCTTTTTTTTGTGAGGATGCTTTACTTTTTTTAAAAAAATACTAATTTTATTGAGAAACAAATAACAATGAGATAGTTTCAAGACCGATTAGTAGGACAGTTTCAATAATTAATACATTGCATATTGTTGTCTTTGTAGTGGTTATTTGTAGTACCAGAGGCAGACATGATATTCTGTCCAAACACTATTAGTACAAATCTTTCTTCCCAGAGGATTCTTGAATGATGATTTCTATATCCATTTCAGAAAAAAAATTAAAATTACTTTACTTTATAATTTGTTTAGATAAGTTCTATATTTTAGATAATGTATTGTATATATGCATATATTTATATATAAAAAGTTTTTTCTAAAGCTTCTAGTTTTTCTGGAATTAAAACCACAGGGCCAAATGTAACTAAAGCCATTTCTGCAGTAATAACAGGTCTATGTAGCATGTGTTCAAAACGTGTCTGGCTGCGAAGCGCTGGGCCCTGGTTCCTGCTCTTTAAGGGACTGTGCCTGTCACCCCTGAGGTACCAGACTCACCCTTGAATACTTTGAGCTAAACATCAATTAGGCTAAGATTTACCCCTGTTCTCGTAGGTGCGTTTCCTGTTTCCTGTTTGCAAAGGCAACTACAGAAGCAATAAACGTACCAGCCTTCCCTTGACTCTTTCCTGTGGTGTCAGGTGGTCTAGCTGCACACTCACAATGTATGATCTCCATTGCAGGGCTGTCGTCTTGCTGCTGAAAGCTGTCGTGACACAGGGCAAGGCTTGGAGATCCAAGGCGCTGCGTGGCTGCATACTGTAAGTTTAAAATTTTTAACCTCTGGAAATATGTGGGTGTTTGGTGCTGCAAATTATGATTCAGAAGGCAAAGGTGGTGTATCCTGGCTAGGCTGCTGTGTGATTGTTTTTCTGTTTGGCGAAGAGAAAATAGTTTACCTCTGTCACGCCACGGGGTATCCATATGTGTTTTTAATTATTGATGGATTTGCATGTTACTGAACAGAAAGCTCTATACCATTTTCATTTTTAGAAAAATTATTGTTTTCTTCTATGGTGACCGATTAAATACAAACCTTATGCAGTAGGGAGATTAGCTAGAACAAAACAAAACAGGAGATATGAGAATGACTTAAAATCTAGCTTATTGCTTCCTAGAAACAAAGGTAGTCTGTGCTTCTCTTTACTTTCGAAAGCTGCTCATTTGGTGTGGAAGACTGAAGAGGACATTGTGCCGCCAGTGGACTGCATGCTTTCTAATTCAGCAGTGGTGCTTTTGAAAATCTGTGCTAGTGTCATTAGGGCAGCAACACCCGTAGTGCTGGATTTCTTGCTAAGATAGGAGCGTTATTGCTTTCCTAATTCGTTGGTATGAGTCTCAGAAGCCATCTCATTGATTATTTAGGAAATTGACTTTTCAGGAAGGAAAATCTGCTTTATGAATTTCTTGGAAATTTTTCAAAATAAGCTAATGGCCCCAGATGACAGCCAGCAAAGATTTAGAGATAATGTGGTCGGGCTCAGGCTCCAGTAATTCTTTCTGTGCCTGTTGGAAACAAAGTGTGACTATTAATCTAATAGCTTTTGGGCTAAATAGTTTTGTATAAAATAAATAGAAGCAGGAAGAAAACCTTTTTTAAAAAATTGCTGATATTACAGGTAAGGGAGCTAAGCTGATGCAAAATGAAACTTAAACGCACTGAGACGTTTTTCATTCCATCCCCCATAACTCTCTAGAGTGTGATTATTAAATGAGCCACATGGCTTATCTGATTGTAACAAGAAAGTGAAAATGAAGATATTTATTCCAAATTTGATAGGTTAGATCTTTTCATGAAATCTATTGAACCATAATAAAAGATTTGAAGACATACTAAACAAGATCCCAGTTTTTCCCATGCTGATGTTGAGAACTGGGTCTCAACCTCATTGCTTCTCTCCTGGAGGCCAGGATATAACTGTCTTTAACTTGGTTGGTATCATTGAGCCTGAGATCATTCTTTTTGACATAGTTTGGTTGAATGCCTATAACCTTAGATATGGCAGTGGCCTTTGGCTCTTTCTGCCGTCAAACTAAGCCATAATAGGAAAACGTGCTTTCTTACCTAAATACAGCAAAGCATGCCCAACCTTTCCTTTGACGTGAAGGTGTAGTGGATCAAGGTGATGCTATTGGCTTCTGGTTGTTTGTGCCCCTCCTCAAGCATCCGGCTCCTCCTCCTTCCCCTGCCTGAGATCTTGGGGACAGGAGGCTCTTGGCTGTAGATTTCCTGCTAGAGTGAGCCTGAAATGAGCTCTGCTTTTTGTCTGGTTTATGTGGACCCAGGAGAGGTCTCAGGAGTCCTTGGTTCACCCTTGTAGCATCTGCCAGGAGGAGGACACAGATGAGACATTGGCAGAGATGCCCTGGGAGCAAGGAAGAAGCCTTCCTGGGCAGGCAACTGCTGGCTAGAGGATGGTGGGGAAGCTGGAGAAGTGGGTGACCTTCTTAGCAGAAGTTTGGTTGCTCAGCACGGACTTTCCAGCAGAATTGCGAGGGTTCTCTCCATATTTCCTGGGATTTGAGGAACTTTGTGTAAGAAACCCATACACTCTAATAAAAATGGTTGCCTGGTGGCAGAGATTTCTTTTAAAGTGAAGCGTATGCATAGACACGAGGTTTCCGGGTGTTAGTGGCGTCCTGAGTGCTTAGACAGCTCTCTTGAGCCCTTTCAGCCAGGATCGTTTGTCCGGATTCCCAAGAAATCCCCAGGGCTGTGCAGATGGCTGGCTTTTCTGTCACAGGATGTTACATGGAATTGCACTTTTCTGCAGTTTTCACGACCTCTTTCCTTCTCTTTTTAAAAGAAATGAATGAGGTTTTAATCCTCTTCGTTTGAAAGTGCACTAGTCTTTATTTTCAGCATCCCAAGATCACAAAATGTCTGCTTCTCCAGGGGAGGAAATGCCCTTCACTTGGGGTCTGATGGACAGTTTCTCACATGCTGAGAGCACAGGCCATCTGCCCAGAGGATGATTAACGGCTGCCTCTACATGTCTGCAGTACAGACACAGACAAGCGCCGATCATCCACATAGTCGATTCTCTGTCAGCCATTTTCCACTCAGTCATGTTCTTAATACCAAAACAGCTAATAAATTCAGTGAAAAACAAAGCCAACTGCCTTACTGTTATTATGGAGAAAAAAGAATCAGAAGAGAGAAGTTGGTTTCTAAGCAGTTTTGCAACAAGCCCCCTTAGTGTTGTGGAGTCGCATAGTGTGCTGCTTGCAGTGGATCAGTGATGATTTCAGTGGAGCAGCAAGTGTTGGCTGAGACGCGGGAAGATTGCTAACCATAACATCACTCATCACTCATGCGATGTACCAGGCTGTGTTCCCTGAAATACGGTTCATTTATTCACTCATTATGGACTTCGTGGCAGGCACGTGCTGGTGACGGAGTATGCACAGGGAGACGTGATTTGTGCCCACACTTTATGGTGATGCTGTGGAGGATCTTGAATGTCCTCTGGGGGCTCACATGGAGAAGGCTTGGTCACCAGCCAGTGCTGTGAGAGTCAATGAACCTTTAAGGGGTGGGGCCTACTGAGGAAACTGGATCACTGAGGGTGTACCCTTGAAAGAGATAATGACACCCTTCCCTTCCTCTTTCCCTGCTTCCTGACTTCTGTGAGATCAATGGCTTCTTCCACCATATTCTGCCGTGATGTGCTGCCTGCCCAAGGCCCACAGGCAGTGGGGCCAACTGACCATGGACTGGCACCTCTGCAACTGTGAACCCCATCAACCTTTCCTCCTCATAAGTTGGTTTATCACAGGTGTTTACCTTCTTGACGGAGAGTTGGGCTGCAGTGCAAGATGATAATCAGTAATTACACAAAGATATTTAGCAAGTGTGAAAGATGAGGACTCAGGAAAAAAGGAAAGAAAACAGCAACAGGGAATTATGAGAGATGAAATACCATCCTGACACCTTGTTCCCTGTGGCTCAGGGCAGGTGGCCCTCGAAGGTTCTGCATGGGGTTGGGACAGGCAGAAACATCTGTGCCAGAGCTCTGAGGTAGATGCGGTATGGAGCTCCCTTGGGCTTGAATCCAGGCCAGCGCTGCTAGAGAATAAGAAGCTATGCGGCAAAGGACAGCTAGAGGCGGCAGGAACTGGCAAAGGGAAAATGAATGAAAAAACCTAAGTAGTTTATAGCGAGGAATGAGTCCTGTTGTCTCTTGTCATTTGTGCAACAATAAAGAATTTGCAGTAGTACAGTCACTGTGCTGTTTGTAAGTGTTCACTGATGCATTCATTCATTCACCAGTCAGCCAATAAGCATGAGAGTAGGCATCTCTGTTCACATGGATCTTAAGTTCTATCAGAGCAGGCAAATAATAGGTCAATAAGTGAAACAGAAGGTTCATAGTAAGTTTTCATTTATAAATAAGTAGCGTGAGTGGTGAGATGTAAGGTGAATATCATACTTTGACCCACGGCCATTATTCTTCTGTTGAATGAAGTGATGTTCTCTGCTCTAGCAGCCCTGAGATGAGGGTAAAGACAGGCACTCCTCACAGTAACCAGTTCACAGCTAAGGACTTTGGTGAAAGTCCAATAGGAAAGTAGAAGGAAACTGTGGGGTCCATAGTAGTTTGGTCTTGTTTCTTATATTCTTGTTTCGGGGCTTTGACATTGCATCTTCCTCCCACTTCCCACCTTGTTCTTCAGCAACAGAACAGGAGAGCAGGTCTTTGGAAATAACAGATCCAGTGCTAACTGAGAAGGATCTGAGGGGCAGAGCAGTTTAGTCTTTCTTCTTACAAGAAGAGCAGGGTACACCTGAGTACACAGTTGACACGGCTTATAGATTTGGCATATTCATCATCCTTGAGAATGGTTCACGTCTTACAGTCAGTGTGCACATTGGCATAGTATTTCTTTCTCACATTCCCATTCTAAAACTGTTCGGACTTAGTGCTCAGAAAATACTACATCCCTGGAACCTTACTTATGGTTTTCAGCTGCGCCTGTCTTCCCTGAAGCTTGCTTGATGCATTCCTCATGGAGAAGCCTGCATATTGCCCAGAATGTATTACTATTATCAAAGACTGTGAAGGTCGCCTTCAGGTCTTGGCTGTGGAGCTCAGAGGGCTTGATGTAGGGTATATTGCATTAATGAGAGATGCAATGGCTACCTGCTTTAAACTCTAAGAACCTCTTTCTTTCTCACTTTCAGAGTGTATGAAACATTATTTCTGTCTATGCTTTCTTAGTCTATCTGGGATGGTATAACAAAGAATCACAAATGCAGTGGCTTGTAAACAGTGGAGGTGGATTTCAGTGGCAGAGGCTGGAGTGCCTCAGCCCGAGGTACAAGCCACTCCAATGTCTACAGGGACTGTGTCCTGGTGCTTAGGTGGCATCTTTGTATCATGTCCTCAAGTGGTGGAGGGGTGGCCTTTGGAAGGGCATCTCCGCTCACTCTTGAGGTCTCTACCCTCAGGACACAGCACTTCTCAAAAGCTTTGCTTCCTGGTCCTATCACTGGGGCTTAGGATTTCAATGTGTGAATTTTAGGGGACACAAGCATTCAGATCACAGTCCATGCCAGGAATCTGTTCTGGAGAAACCATCGGTGGTGTTCGTGTGCCTCTATGACAGGCCTCTAGGAGCACAACAGGCGTTTGGACAAGGTACTTCTACTGCAAAGGGTTGTCCTGGGCAGTGCAGGATGTTGGCAGCATCTTGGCACCTGTAGTACATGACTACCGTCGTGTCAACTGTCTCTAGTTGTTCCCAAGTGTCTCCTGGG